TTCTTTTGCATTGTTTTTGTCATCAGCTCTCCTCTTGACTCTGTGCTCTGGATTCACAAGTGACAGGCCTCAGAGTACCCTGGGGTGTGTTGACCCCGTTTGGGCCCTGGCAACTACAGTGACTTGGGCCCCCAGACTTGCTTTTCTCCTGTTTTGTCCTTCCTACTTTGGAGAGACTACCTGCTCGGTCATATAGTCTTACGTTCACATAATCTTGGTGTGGATTTCTGGGCATGCTCTGATCCCAAGGAGAAAGAGCCAAGGATCTCTGAGGCCAGTAGAGATGTTTGGGTAAAGAAATTTCTACCTTCTTTGAGCGGGATTTGGGGCGGTCCTGAGCAGTGAGTTCCTACAGGCACACATGCCATGCACTGCTCTAAGTAGTTGTCTATATGGACTGTCAAGTTCTCAATCCTAGTGGTCATGTGCTGTGGGTGTGCAGTGGTGAGCATGCAGTGTTTTTTACTACACCCAGGGATAGTCTTTTGGATCGTACAAGTCTGTGATCAGGTGATCCTCTCTACAGTGCTCACTGGACCAGTGGTGCTCGAATTGGCCCTGGGGTTACCAGGAAAGGCAGATACATCCAAGAACCTTCTGAATGACGTCCTCCCATTTTAGCAGATCCAGGTGCCTTATGTGATTTCTGGGGCCCATCAGCCATGCGTGTGCTTGGAGGCTGGTTCATTCGGAGGGTAGAGGCCCAGCGACAATATAGGACCCTGGGTCCTGGCCTCAGAATAGTAAGAATGAGGCTAAGATGTATTCTGACTCCCACCCTCTCCGTTTGCTGACTCAGGACACAGTGACCTTCAATGACGTGGCTGTGAACTTCACCCTGGAGGAATGGTCATGTCTGGAGGCCTCTCAGCGGAAGCTCTACAGTGACGTGATGCTGGACACCTACCAGCATCTGCAGGCTGTCGGTGAGAGAAATGTGGAGCCAACCGTGTCTGAAGAGACCCACGTGGGCTCCCTGGGGTTGGGAGGCAGCTGAGTGTCCAACAGTAGCTCTGTGACACGCTGGTATATTGGACAGCCGTGCAGTAGCTCTTCTCTCTCTCTCTTTTTTTTTTTAGGGTTCACCTGTGTATACTCAGGGCTTACTCTCAGCTTTGTTCTCAGGAATTACTCTTGTGGGGTTGCCAGACCCTATGGGGTAATTCAGATCAACCCGTTTCGACTGTGTCCATAGGAAGATCGATCCCTATCTGCCCAGTTATCGCTCAGGTCCTTTAAATAGATCCATCCATTGTTGTATCAATTTACTTTGTATACTACACGAACTTTTGTATGTTTAATTGGTTTTGCTGTTGCTTTGTTTGGGGGCACAGTCCACAGTTCTCCTGGCTCTGTGCTAAAGGATGACTCCTAAGAGTGCTCAGGGGCCATGGGGTACCATGGACTGAAACCTCTTTGCAACTTAAAATGTTGGTGCCTCACCCCCAGTACTTTTGCACCAGTCAGTAAACGGTCTTTGCATTTTCTTTTTTCCTTAGGGATTAGGGATTATTCCTGCCTGTGTATTCAGGATCCACACCTGGCCTTGCTTCAAGACCGTATGGGCTGCCTGGGATCACACCCACATGTGTGTGCAGCGCTTCTGTCTTATCTGCTGTACTATCTCTTTCCATTCGGAGAGTCCGGCAAGCTACCGAGAGTATTCGATATGCCAGACACAGTAACAACAAAGTCTCCAATGGAGACGTTACTGGGCCCGCTCGAGCAAATCGATGATCAACAGGAGGGCCTTTACTTTACTTTTACTTTTATCTCTTTCCCACCACAGGGAATTTGATATCTCGTCTCTCAACTCATTAGACGCTGCCCTATTTCACTACTTTGATTTAATTCTAATGGTTCTTGTGACACTTCAGCAGAACTTAGGGTTTGCTCCTGGACTCTGCACTCAGGGATCACTCCTGGCTGGCATGAGGTACCCTAGGAGATATCTGGTATCGCAACTGCATTGTCCGTGAGAAACTCCTGCTGTGCTCTCTTTCTGGATACATTTTCTAGCTTAAAAAAATAAGGGTCTCTTGCCACCCTTGACCATTTCCAGATTTATTATGCATTTAGTTTTACTGAAATTCGTGATGAGTTCATGAGGGCCTCAGGAAACTTCATGTGCTGCTGGGCCTAGAAACACAGTACAGGGAGGAAAGTGATTTTCTTGCAAGCGGCGCACATTGGTTAAATCCCCTGCAACCCATGTCATTCCTGAGCACCAGCAGCAGTGATTTATGAATACAGTGTCAGGAGTCACCCCTGAGCATTGGCAGGTGAGACCCCAAACAATACAAAAACCAACAACATATTATGCTGAACGTCCCCCTGTCGGCCATACACAAGGCCAGGTCTAGAGTATTTGTGATATTTTCTTGGGTCTTAACTCTTGAATAAGTAGAAATATGTAGCATTTTGGAAATGAACATTCTGTTCATGCTTTTCAGATATTTGCCCAGTTATATCAGGAAAACATGGGGATTTACCTGTCACCTTTTCCCTGTGACTTATCCATGCCTCTGTCTCTGTCGGGGCAGGGCACTCTGGGATGAAGCCTGTGGTGATCTCCTGGCTGGAAGGAGGAGCCCTGAGGTCGGGGAGGAGAGGCATGTGTGCGGGTGAGTGTCTGAGTACCCTTCCTGGCTCAGGCCCTGTGCAGTGTATGGGTGCGCTGAGCATGTAGGAAACATGCTGCTGAGACTGGGGACTCACTCTCTGCTCTTCATTCACCTTGACTGTAAGTCACAGAACAATCCTATAATTTGCTTCCATGTCTTTCGAATAAGTAAGACCATAACAGAGCTAGTTTGAATCTGAACGATAGTACAGCAGGGAGTGCCTTGCAGTGCCTGAAGGTGATCTCTTCAATAATGTGTTCAATAACCTGGTTCTCCTAACATTACCAGGTCTGCTCAAAAACAAAAACAATACCTAGTGTAGAGTTGCCAAGATCCTCACAGTTTTCCGCTATCGAATCTTTTCTTTAGTGTGGGACTCTTTGGACTTTGAGAACAACAGAAATGTACTCTTAACTACAGGCATCATTTTGCTACATTTTTGGACAAGTGCTTGAACTGCATATTTTGTTCAGTTTCAGAACTGAATCCGCGGCTTCAGGATTTGGCATTACAGCACTTTGATTTGGGAATGGGGTCCGCAATTAAGAGTGAGTTGGTAAGATTCCCTAATTCAGAATAAATATTATTATGCCAGCAGGAGTGGACCAAGTATGTGATTGTTAAGATGGAAGGCTGGGAATGGCAGGAAGGAATTCCAAAGCCTTATGCTTGGAGTAGAGGACCCTTAGATACAAGAGGTGCTGAAACCAACCATGTATAAAAATAATGTGAGTTTTTATTTGCTTGAGAGTGGTAGTTGTTTAGAAAGCTAATTTGTGCGCCCTAGAGATGGTGCAGAGAGAAATATACTTGCTTTGCACAGAGATGGATGGTCCTTACCCAGCACGCCTTATAGACACCATAGACCCACAGAACTGATCCTAGATACTGCGTGGTGTGCTCCTCCGCCCACCCAACCCCCAATAAATAGAAACTTCAAAACAGAAAGAACAAAAAAATTTGTTGATTGTGAAAGCAATAACTTGTGGTGAGAGCTTAGCAATGGCCACGTGGTCTGTCTCAGCTGTGTGATGATACAGCGTAGTAGTCACCCCTGCATCAGAGGTTCCACTCTGAGCTTTAACCAAACCCACTGTGGATGTATTTCATTTTCTCTTGAAATGGATGTGTCCATTTTCTATAGAAGGAATTATTTCTAGTTGTTTTCCTTCATTAATTTAAAGTGGGGAAAGTCACAGAATTTACTGACTCTCTATCCATCAATTTTGTGCGTCCAATTTACAGCAACATGAAGTTATTCAATAGTAAGACAATTCATATGTCAGTAATTGCATTTGTGCAGTGCATTTGTGTGAAACCACATCTGAAGGGCTCAGTTTTTTTGACAGGAAGACTCAGTGAATAAGTCAATAATTACAATCCTCTGTTGTTCTACAGGAAAGCTGCCACCCAGAGTGGAGTGTCTCTGATCCTGCACTGTATAATAATGTCTCGAGTGACCAATCCTGCCCTCAGCCCCATGAGGAGGACGAGACAGGCGGGATGTCTTCTGAGGGTGATCAGAATGGCGAGAGCTACCTCACTCTGAAGAAGCCCTCTCCTGGAAAAAGTTCCTTGGAGTGTGTTATTCTCAGTTCAGAGACACAAAATTCCCCACTGGGTCACCTGCTAGGGAGAGAAGCACTGTTTATAGTGAGTCCCTCACAGCGACATACCCTCAACCACAGTCAACGTGAGCAGAACCCATCTATGTGTATGGAATGTGGGGGAGTCTCCCCATGTTCTCAGCACTGTGGTGTTCCCTTAGAAAACCACAGTGGACATAATCCCCAGAAAAGTCAGCCCCAAGAACAAAGTGTGAGTCAAGGGTTACTCCATCATGACTATATGAATATAAATTCAGGAGCGAAACCTTTTGCATGTGAAGAATGTGTGAAGGCCTTCGATCACTCATCACATCTTATTATGCATAGGAGAATTCATACAGGAGAGAAACCTCATGAATATCAGACATGTGGGAAGGCCTTTATTCAGTCCTCTAGTCTTAATAGACCTATGAAAACTCATAGTGGAGAGAAGCCTTATATAAGTCAGGAGTGTGCTAATGCCTTTACTCGATCCTCAGGCATCAGTATACATAGAAGTATTCACACTGGAGAGAAACCATATATATGTCAGGAATGTGGAAAGGCCTTTACTCAATCCTCAGGCCTCAGTATACATAGGAGAATTCACACTGGAGAGAAAACGTATATATGTAAGTAATGTGGGAAGATGTTTGCTGTAGCCTCAAATCTTAGTGTACATAGCAGAATTCACACTGGAGAGAAACCGTATATATGTAAGGAATATGGAAAGGCCTTTGCTAGAGCTTCAAGACTTACTGTACATAGGAGAATTCACACTGGAGAGAAACCGTATATATGTAAGGAATGTGGGAAGGCCTTTGCTAAAGCTTCAAAACTTACTGTACATAGGAGAATTCACACTGGAGAGAAACCATATATATGTAAGGAATGTGGGAAGGCCTTTGCTGAATCCTCAAGACTTACTGTACATAGGAGAATTCACACTGGAGAGAAACCATATATATGTAAGGAATGTGGAAAGGCCTTTGCTGTAGCCTCAAGACTTAGTGTACATAGGAAAATTCACACTGGAGTGAAACTGTTTATATGTGAGGAATGTGGAAAGGCCTTTGCTGTAGCTTCAACACTTAGTGTACATAGGAGAATTCACAGTGGAGAGAAACCGTATATATGTAAGGAATGTGGAAAGGCCTTTGCTAGAGCTTCAAGACTTACTGTACATAGGAGAATTCACACTGGAGAGAAACCGTATATATGTAAGGAATGTGGAAAGGCCTTTGCTGTAGCCTCAAGACTTAGTGTACATAGGAAAATTCACACTGGAGTGAAACCGTTTATATGTGAGGAATGTGGAAAGGCCTTTGCTGTAGCTTCAACACTTAGTGTACATAGGAGAATTCACAGTGGAGAGAAACCGTATATATGTAAGGAATGTGGAAAGGCCTTTGCTTTGGCCTCAAGACTTAGTGAACATCGGAAAATTCACACTGGAGAAAGACCCTATGTTTGTAAGGAATGTGGAAAGGCCTTTACTTTGTCCTCAAGACTTACTGTGCATAGGAAAGTTCACACTGGAGAGAAACCATATATATGTAAGGAATGTGGGAAGTCCTTTGCTGAAGCCTCAAGCCTTCGTGGACATAGGAGAATTCACACTGGAGAGAAACCGTATATATGTAAGGAATGTGGGAAGTCCTTTACTGAAGCCTCAAGCCTTCGTGTACATAGGAGAATTCACACTGGAGAGAAACCGTATATATGTAAGGAATGTGGGAAGTCCTTTACTGAAGCCTCAAGTCTTCGTGTACATAGGAGAATTCACACTGGAGAGAAACCATATATATGTAAGGAATGTGGGAAGGCCTTTGCTAGAGCTTCAAGCCTTACTGTACATAGAAGAATTCACACTGGGGAGAAACCGTATATATGTACAGAATGTGGGAAGGCCTTTGCTACAGCCTCAAACCTTAATGTACATAGGAGAATTCACACTGGAGAGAAACCGTAATATATGTAAGGAATGTGGGATGTCCTTTGCTGAAGCATCACACCTTTGTGTACATAGGAGATTTCACACTGGAGAGAAACCATATATATGTAAGGAATGCGGAAAGGCCTTTACTTCATCCTCACAATTAACTGTACATAGAATTCACAGTGGAGAGAAACCGTATATATGTAAGGAAAGTGTGAAGTCCTTTGCTGAAGCCTGCTGATTTTCACCCGGGCTACACCTATGCCAGTGTTCTTGTGCTTGGAATTGCTTGTGTATTAACTTGTAAATAATGGGTCATGGTGATGAAAATAAGGAGGAAGGTGACTGAATAAACCGGTACAGAAACACCCTCCTGCTCAGAGCTGTCATTTCTCACTACTCTGTTATTGTTTGCTATGCTTCTGGCTTGGCCCAGAGGGTCTGGTTAGCGGGAATTATGGCAGAAATCAACCAAGATGCAGCATTGAATACTTTGAAAATGGAAAAATAGGTAAACCTTCATTCTTCAGTCTTTCCTGTGTTAGGATTTGGAATGCTTGAGCACCCTGCAAATCCTGGTTTGGCAATTTGAGCGCCAGGTCACACCAGCTTGTATGGTGCATTCACACTTGTTTCTTACTTGTTCTAGATATTCAGGCTTTAGTGGATGTGGAGCTTTTGAGGGGTGCATTGGGTGCTGTTCTGTGGCTCAGGTGTCATGGGTGAGGGTGCGTTATTCTGAGGGCCCCTGCAGCTACGATCGATCCAGCTCCAAGATGGCACTGGAGGTTGGGCACATGCATTTCAGGCCTTAGTGTGAGTAGCCTGCAAAGAGTGGGGGTCTTGGTCATCTCATTCCTCCCTACTGGAGACTGTGAAGGACCCTGTTTGGAGCCTATGAACTGGACATAACACTTATCGAAACTCCAGATATGTTCATGGGCAGCCCCTTTCGGGACACTTTTGCCGTCGGTCATTTTCATTGGCTTCAGTGCTGGGTTTGGGTCTTTGGGGTGTGTTTGGACAAGTGAGAGGTATTTGCCTTGAAAATTTATTCTTTGGATTATATATTTTTTTGCTTTTTGGGTCACACTCAGCGTTTCACATGGGTTTCTCCTGACTTATGCACTCAGGTATTACTCCTGGTAAAGCTCAGGGGACCATACTGTTGCTGGTATTCGAACCCGGGTTGGTCACGTGCAAGTCAAACCTCTTACCCGCTCTGCTATCACTTCAGCCCCTCTATGGATAAATTTTAATAGCTGCTTTTATTCAGGGGAGTTGGAAGGGATTTTTTGATGCTCAAGGTTTACTTCTGGTTGTGCATCTCAGGAATTATTCTGTGGTGCTACTGGGTACCTATAGGATGGAGAGGATTGACCTGGGTCAGCAAGAGTAGCATCCTAGTCGCTTCACAGTGATTCCAACCCCACTATTGGTGTGTTTTTCTCCTATATAGAATTTCTACTTCCCAGGAGTATGGTACCACAACAGGTCAATCTGTGCCTGTAAGGCGACTGCATCAGCAGCCTGATGGCACCGTCAGACTTCCAGAGACTCCAAAATTGCTGCTGTGCCTTTGGCCAGACTCCAAAAACTTTGGGCAAAGTCTTCCAAGAAAGTAAACAGCCAAAGTTAGGTATGTGCAAGACACACCAACAAACCATTTCCTGCTCAGCTATATAATTGGAGGCAAGGTCTCTCTGGTTCCTGATCAAACTCCTTAAAGGCTATGATCCCAGAGACTCAGAGACAAATCTCAGAACCCAGCAGCTTTTTGCAGAGATGCGCCCGGTAACCACAATGAGCTATCAGCGACAGACCACCACAAGGGGGAAAGGGTGTGTCTCTCCACCTGATCCCACTTGGTGGCTCAGTGGCCACCATCTTCCAGAGGCCATTGGACAGACAGGTTTGGGCCTGCAGTGACAAGACATGTGAGGCCTCATGGGATTGGGGTGGACTCTGCCCTTTCCTCCCCACCTCACAGAGACCCCGAGTCGCTGCCCATGTACGGACTCTCTGGCTCTTGATCACTCTGTTTAACGTCCATGATCACAGAGTCTCAGAAACAAATCTCGGAACCCAGCGGCTTTCAGCAGAAATGTGTCTGGTCCCCACAATAGGTTACCAAAGCTGGGTATTTCAGGTAGGAATAGGTTTCGTGCCTGGTGGTTTAGTGGCCGCCATCTCTGAGGGCTTCTGGATGGTTAGGTTTGGGACTGCAGTGAGGAGACATGCAGGGCCTAACAGGATGGTGGTAGAGCCAGCCCTTTTTTCCCCACCCCAAATAAAACCCCGGGTTGTCTGGCACCTACAATTGACCTCTGTGGCTTATGATCAAGGTGCGTAATGACCATGATCCCAGAGATTGAGACAAATCTCGAAACCAAGCGTGTTTTAGCAGAAATGTGTCTGTACCCTGCAGAAGGTTACTGTCCCTGGTCCACACCAGGGGGAATTGGTGCTGTCCACCCAACTGCTCTCCCCTGGCGGCTTGGTGGCCCCCATCCTCCAAAGGCCTTTGGAAGGTCAGGTTTGGGCCCACACTCACAAAGATATGTGGGGCCTCTCAGGATGAGGTGGAGCCGGTCAATTCCTCCCCACCCCAACAAGAGCCTAAGTCATTCCCACGAACCACCTCTCTGGCTTGTGATAAAGCTGTTTAATAGCCATAATCCCAGAGACTCAGGGACAAATCTCGGAACCCAGCAGGTTTTGGCAGTAATCTCTGCAGATTTAGTTGTTAAAATTTCAGAATTCCAAAATCATATGTTATTTATAACCAGCAATCGAAAAAAAAAATGTCTATTGTTGCGTTTTTGCCATATCTGAGTGCTGGGGTAAAATCCCAAATAATAATGGTGGGTCTCATGTCAAAATATTGAATGTAATCAATGTAGAGAGAAGAATGTGGAAATTATCTGCCCCACAGGTAGGAGGAGGCTGTGAAATGGCAGTATACTTGGGTTTTTAGTGGTGGAAAATGGGCACAGTGAAGGGACGGGTCTTTCATTGTATGACCAAGACTTAAACTTGAGTTTTGTAATTGCTCTCCCATTTTTCCCGTTTTCTCCCATTTATTTAGAAATGGCCAGAGCAATTGTAGAGCAAGTAGGATGCTTGTCTTGCATGTGGCCAACCCAGGAGTCCTCCAGTCCACAACATCTTTGAATTGCTCACTGGACATTGAGTGTCCCCTTCTCATCCCTAGAACATGTGGGGGTGTAGCATGGGGTAGGGGTGTCTTCTCCCCAGAGCTGTTCATTACGGAGAGATCCTGTGCTTTGAATTCTTGACTTTGTTGTCATTCTTCCTCATCTGTCAGGTATGTCGAGTAGTCCATGTGTTTTAAGGCCCTTGTTTTCCCGGCTGTATAACTAGCCTGACTGTACACCTAAAGGGCTGGGTGCCCTTTCTGGACCCCACTCTGTCAATCTGACACCATGTTTATCTTTGCCTTTGGATCATTGCCTTGGTCTTCTGAGTATAATAAGAAATTGAGTTTTCTTTTGTTTTGGGGCCGGGGGATGCTCAGCAATTATTCCTGTTGGTTCTCGTAAGTTGCTTTCGGCAGTGCTCAGGGATCAACTCCTGTCAGCCTCATGCAAGGCCTACCTGCTGTACGCTTGTACGCACCAAAAATGGTTTATTGTGTGTATGTTAAATTGTGACTGTGAGCCCATAGTGAAGTTAATTAGAACCAGAACAGTAGTGCATCACGGAGGGTGCTTGCCTTACAGATGCCACCTACCTTCAATGTCCAGCATCCCCTATGGTATCCCAAGCATCACTGGGTATGATTAAAATAAAACCCAAAAGGCTTTTTTGGGGATTTCCGAGCTCCTCCCAGCAACACTTCCCGCAGATTTTCCCTTTCTGTAGGCTTGCTTGGACTGTGAGAACTATGGAGATGTCCTCTACCTGCTTGATCATTCAACTGCATTCCATTCAACATTGGACTAATTCTCATTGTGCATTTTGTTTGATTTTAGAACTCAAATCACAGGTTCAGATGTGGCATTACAGCAACTCTACCTGCTTGATCATTCAACTGCATTCCATTCAACATTGGACTAATTTTCATTGTGCATTTTGTTTGATTTTAGAACTCAAATCACAGGTTCAGATGTGGCATTACAGCAATTTCTTTAGGGAATGGGGATATTGCTTACAAGTGTGCTCTAAGATCGTCTTGTTGAAACTAACTGTTATGCCATTGGAGTGCTCAGTGGACCGAGCATGCGACTTGAAAGGTGGGGTCTGGCTCTATCTCCACAACCACATCTATGGTCTCAGCAGCACAGGAAAAATGTTGGAGCGATAGCACAGCGGGTAGGGTGTTCGCCTTACAAGCGACCAACATGGCCGACCCGAGTTCGATTACTCTGCCGCTCTCGGAGAGCCCGGCAAGCTACCGAGAGTATTCGATATGCCAGACACAGCAACAACAAAGTCTCCAATGGAGACGTTACTGGGCCCGCTCGAGCAAATCGACGATCAACGGGAGGGCCTTTACCTTTAATGCTGGGTCTAGAGGGTCTTTAACCTCAGTGGGTGCTGAAATATGGAAATTTATTTTATTGTATTGCTTTTAAAGTTTTCATTAAAGTGCCAGTATTTTCAAAATTATTGGTAGTTGTATTTAGGCATACACTAATTGAACACCAATCCCTGCATCAGCTTCCCTCCACCCGTGTTCCCATATTCCCTCCCCACCCCAGTCCCCACTCTACCCCCGCCTGTCATCTGGACAAGCACATGACTAGGTTTCAGTGGTTACAGCTTAGTTCTCTAGTTTTCAGTTCTGTTACATCCGTGTTTTGGGTAAATGGCTACACCCCTCACTCATGTCACTGGCATAAATGAATCCCTGATCCCTGTAAACTTCTGGTTCTCTTCCGCCCCAAATTTCTTTCCTTCTTTGTCCGGCTTCTCTCTAAACACTGGAATCAGGGATGATTGAAGCAGCC